CTTCTTCTTCTTTTGAGACAGAGTCTCACTGTAGCTCAGGCTGGCTTCCAAATCTCCGACTCCCTATAGAGTTCAGGCTGACCTCAATCTCTATCCTTTTGCCTCAGCTTCCCAGGCCTAGGATTACCAAGAATGTTGAGTTTGGAACTATAAAAGGGAATGGTCATTCTGAGAACACAATGCCTCAACAGGAAACTAGATCAGACTGAACCATCCCTCTTTCAGCTGGCAGGAACAAACAGTAATAGAGTCCAGGTGAAGGGACTTTATTCGTCCGGGTTCCCTCTGAAGGACAGTCACTTCTTGAGCAACTCAGCTCAGCTAAGGTGCTTTTTACACTGGCAGAGGAGTTAGCAAGCAATGAATAGAAATGAGAAGAACAGGTAAAACCAATGATGCCAGACACGCAGGAATCATGTTGATATAACCACAGAGCCAGATACAGGTCTTCAATGTTTTTTCTATTTAATTAACATGTAAAGATTTCACTTATTTATAGGGTACAAAGTGATATTTCAATACATGTACACAATCTGTACTAATTACATCTGGGTAATTTACATCTCTAGCTCCTTATCATTTCTTTTTTGGAGCCTTTGAGCTCCTTTCTTCCAGTTCCCCATAAAACATATAATAGTACATTGTAAACTATAGTCACTCTACTGTGTTACAAAACACCAGAACTTATTCCTCCTAGCTGTACTTTGATACCCTTATTCAAACTTTATCCATTCCCATCTTAGTAGACTCTATTAAACCAACACATTCTATCTAATTCTTTTTAATTACTATTCTACTTCCAGATGGACTTTTTTAGCTTCTACATGTGAGTGAAAATATAAAGTATTTGTCTTTGTATGTCTAGTTTATTTTATTTGACATAACATAGTACAGATCCATCCATTTTGCTGGAAATAACAGGATTTCACTCTTTTTGTGGTTAAATAATATTTCATCATACATATACGATATCATCTTTATTCATCTGCCAATGGACATCTAGACTGATTCTATATCTTGGCTATTGTGAATAGTGCTGCAATAAAGGTGGGACTACACGTATCTCTTTGACATGCTGATTTCATTTCCTTCAGATATTAACTCAAGTAGAATAGCTGGATCATATGTTAGATCTAATTTTAGCTTTTTTGTTTTTTGTTTTTTGTTTTTTGGTACTGGGGATTAAACTCAGGACCTTGTGCTTGCGAGCCAGGTGTTGGCACCACTGATCTAAATCCCCGGCCCTAATTTTAGCTTTTGAGGAACCTCCATAATGTTTTCTACAATGGTTATATTAATGTGCATTCCCAACAGAAGTGTATAATAATTCCTTTTTCTTTATACTCTCACTATCATTTGTTATTTTTGTATTTTTGATAACAGCCATTTGACTGAGGTAAGATGATATCTTACTGTGGTTTTGATTTTCATTTCTCTGATGGCTGATAATGAGCATTTTTTCCATATACTTTTTAGCCATTTATATTTCTTCTTTTGAGAAGTGTTTCTTTAGATCATTTGATCATTTTTAATTATTTTTTGTTGATGATGTGTTTTTTATGAGTTCTTTATATATTCTGGATATCAATCCTTTATCAAGATGAATAGTATACAAATATTTTCTCCCATTCTATAGGTTATTTCTTAACTCTATTGATTGTTACTTTTGCTGTACAGAAACTTCTTTGTTAGAATCCCATATGTCAAATTTTTGCTTTCATCGCCTGTAGTTTTTGAAGTATTTCACTTATGTTTTCATCTAGTACTTTCATAGTTTCAAGCCCAACATTTAGATCTCTAATCCATTTTGAATTGATTTTTGTATAGAGTGAAAAATAAGGGTAAAACTTCATTCTTCTGCACATGGATATTCTGTTTTCTCAGAATATCTTTCTCCTATGTATGTTTCTGGAGCCTTGTCAAAAATGAGTTGGCTATAGATTCATAGATTTATTTCTTGAAACTCTATCCTGTTCCATTTATCTATGTGCTGGTTTCTTATTCCTGCAGTAACCTGCAGTCTAGGTTACTATGCCCTAATAGTGTATTTTGAGATCAGGTGTGATATCCTAGCTTTATTTTATTTGATCAAGATTGCTTTAGATATGCAGGGTCTTTTATGCTTCCATACAAATTTTAGAATTGTTTTTACTAGTTTTGTGAAGAACTGTAATGGTATTTTGATAGAAATTGTATCAAATCTATCAATTGCTTTTGGTATTATGGACATTTTAACAGTATTAATTCTTCCAATTCATGAACACTGAAAGTGTTTCCATGTTTTGTGTGTGTAACTTAATTTCTTTCAGTGTTTTAGTTTTCATCTTAGAACTTTTTCACTTCCTCAGATAAATTTATTCCTAGGTATTTTATTTTTTGTTGCTACTGTAAATAGAACTGCTTTCATGATTTCTTTTTCAGCAAGTTTGTGATTTATATATTGTTTGTGATTGTATATAAAAAGGCTACTCATTTCTGTGTGTGTTTTTTAGTCTACAACTTCACTGAATTCATTTATATGCTCCAATAATCTTTTAGTAGAGTCTATGTATATAAATATATCTTTTCATGTCATCCACAAACAGAAATAATTTGACTCTTTCAAGAATTGAGCCCTTCCTTTTTGCAAACGAACTCCCTCTGAGATCTAGGAAAGGCAAGACCACAAGACTTTCTGACATTTTAAGGACGCCTATATTCAATGTAATGTACAATGAAGTGCCTTTCCCTCTAAATTACCTCTGAATAGACAACCAAACAACCCAGACAAAATGATATCTACTCTGAAGGCAACCACAGAAAGCTCATCTGTTTCTGCTCTGCATATGCCTATTGGCGAACTTATAGTGAAGTTCTTTCAACATTAATTTATGAGTTTTTCAAGGTGTCTTAAGGGTTCTGTTGGGTATGCAGATGAGGATGATGAGTAAAAATTAATGCCTACCCTAAGTGAACTAAGGATAGTGAAGGTTAAATAGTACACTTGTCTCTCATGTCTGCAGGGTATTGTTTCCAAGACCTTCTTAAAGATACCGAAATCTACAGATGCTCAAATCCTTTAAACACATGATGTATTTCCATACAACTTTACATGTCCTCTTATATACTTTAAGTCACCTCTATTTTTAAGACCTAATAGAATATAAATCCTATGTACATAGCTGTTATACTGTATTGTTTAGAAAATAATGGCAGGAAAAAAGGCCTGTGCATGTTTAGTAAAAACACAATTTTTTTCAAATATTTTCCATCTTTGGTTAGTTAATCCACAAATGCAGAGCCCACGGATATGAATGATCACTGAAAAAATTGGAAAATATCCTTAGACTCCATGAGATAAAGGCATTTTGTCAATAGTTATTTGCAGAGCGGCCTTAACAAACATCCAATGATGGAGTGAGGATGCATAAGGTAAGAGTAGAGAGCTCAGTCCCATCACTTTCCTTGCACATTGCCTGGGATATGATCAGCACAGACTTACTGAAATAATGAGTTAGGGAAAACAGTATAGATTTCAAACAGCAGATCCTGCCCCTCATCCCATTGCACATTGTTCTGTTGCCTCTCCTCTTACATTTTCTGTTCCCCCTACTTAGCTCCCAGAAGTTTATCTCCCCAGTAGTTAAATGCTCCCAAACTCTTCTGAGTTCTCCATTGTGATATGTAACCCTCACCAGACCTCACCATAGTGCAGAGGCAACATGGCAGGAGAAAATTAAACTTGCTTTGCTGAGGGGAGTAACACAGTAATGGTCTTCTAAGGTTGATTTTTACTTCCACAAACAGAGTATCCTATTAACTTTTTTATTTGCTTCTCAATCACCCCTCTCTTTCTGTTTCTTCTTACCTTGCAATTACCCATCCTCACCCATTGAGAAGTGTAGACTTCATTAAAAGGCAGCCATTGCTTGCTGAATGGGGTTATCTCATGTATCAGGAGACAACTGCAAATAACTCTGCAAACAACTCGCAAGTGCAAGTTCCGAGTTTGATCCCCAGTTACCCCCCCCCCAAAAGCTTTTATCTCATAGAGAATAAGGATATTTTCCAATAGATATTTTAAATTATATCAAATATGATTAGTTCTAGCACTTTACTTTTATACAAGAAAATCAGAAATCACCCAAATGGTTTTTCTGAACATGGAAATGTTCCACTATGTTGAGTGATAAGATAAAGTACATACTCTAGGCCAGTGTGACTGACCAAGCTCAAACTCAGTGCAAAAGAGCTCTGAGTTGGCCTTTCCTCTTCTCACTCAGCCATGGGGTACAAAAGGAAATCCCCTTTTCACAACTCACTTTAAGGAAGGATAATTTCTGCCTATAAAATTATATGAGGAACAGACCATGATTTTTGCCCCTTTTCATCACAATAGTTTTACAAGGTCATTCAAGTACCAAATTGGAGATATTGTCATTACATAAAAAGTTGATTAAAGAAGTGTTTCCCTCATTAAGTTTTTGAGAGCTAGAAAGCAACATAGATATCATCTACTCAAAAATTACTTGGCCATAGGCCGGGGATTTAGCTCAGTGGTTCCTCCCACCTGCTTTGCAAGAGCAAGGTCCCAAGTTTGATCCCCAGTACCAAAAAACAAAACAAAACAAAAATTATTTGGCCATGAGACATTTTCTAATTGTACATTTATATAACTCAAAATGGAATCTATGAAGTAGAATGTTTATTATTACAGTGACCAGATAGGTGGATTAATTGCTTCATAAAATGATGCTGATGAACAAATTGTGGAACCTTGGGGTTAAGTACTTCACTCAAGCTCAGAGATTGGCTGAACTAGTGCTGCAATATCCTTGGTCAGAGTTCAGTTTGCTCTCTTTCAATTAGGATACAGCTCTGGTTTTTTTTGTGTTTTTTTTGGTACTAGGGGATAAGGGAAGATAAGGTACTGGTAGGATAAGGGAACCACACAGCCCCTGGACCCTGATCTCTGAGCCTCCCTCCTTACTGTTTTCTGACTGGATCTTCACAGAACTAAGTGTCAGCCAGAGCTCACAGGAGTCCCCCATTTGGGACACACAATCCTTTCTACACTTGATCTTAGCCAAAAGGCCAAAAAACAATCACAGAACCCCTTTTTAAAGAGTTCATTATACCATTTTCCACAGAATTTAGCTTTTAAAAGGCAGAATGCAATATCTTTTAATACTAGAGTTATTCCACATACATCAATAAATCTTATTTGGAAATGCTTCTTTTTCTATGTTTGGTCACTTTTAGCAACTTCCTTTGAATGAAATGTAAAATAATTCATTAGTATGAATAGTTCCCATATAGTAAAATGGAAAAACAGCGAGGCATCTTTACCGTAAATGTGATTAGATTCAGGCCATAGCCCAGTTTTCCTGAGTTATTGACTAATATCTTCCCAATGACACCTTGTTATGATGGAAAAACAAGGCTTCATCCCAACAGGTCACATAACTGTGCAACAGAAACACTGAACTCCAGGCCAGTTGCCAGGTCCCCAAATGAAAGACTGTAAAAAGGGCCACACCTCCCAAACAGCCCAGAAACACCCACCCGGCACAGTGGGCTGCCTTTCAGTCACAACCATGGTGCCACCCTCAATACAAGAAGACTTTGGTGGAAGACTTTGGTGACTTAGGACTTAAATTTTACAGCATGTACTCATATAACTTTTAAATTAATAATTATTCTTTTCCCCACTTGACAGATTAATTACACAAAAATATGCGCAAATTGTGCTCAATTGCCGGAAAATGCCTTTAACTTTGACAAAGAGTGCACCTGCTCTATACCCTTTTACCTTCCGGAGAAAATGGAGGTAAGTGAAATTGAAAAGTTCAATTGACTTTATGCTGAGTTATGAGTACTTCTATTAAACTATCCAGGGCAACTTCATAATTTCCATCAAATGCTCTCCAAAATTGAATAACATTAAAAGTAAAGCAGGGTGGAAGTGACAAATTTTATAAATTGTTGAGTGCCTGCCTCCCTATTTGATATTATTATTCTTCTTTGTATATGTGTTTCTAAGTTTTAAGATTCTTTACCTACCCAACTTCATAACATAATTTTTATAATAAAGCAAGCAGGTTTTATTTCAAATGTACACATTGGAGGGGACTGTAAAGATTATTGAATTTATAACCAGTCATTTTATAACCAGAAAATTAATGGGCTAAGATATTAAGTGATGTGGTCAAAGTCACACAGCAAATTAATATTAGTATTTTCATGTGGTGGGAATCTCCTTGTGTCCCCCCACTCTAAGTCATCGTACATATGCAGTTGCCTAATTCTTAAGTCACTTCTGGCCTAATTGTCAGGCACTGTGAGAAATTCCAAAGAAATACTGAGACCCTACTCTTGCAATTGTTAAAGTCACATCTTAGTCTATCCATCCAGATCTTCTGAGAAGCAGATGCCAGGACAGGATTGGACATGGAAGAGATTTATTGGAGAAACACCTGGGAGAGAAATGGGAAGGGAGCAGGAAGAAGCTGGGAGAGCTGTCAGACCACAAGACAGCTCCGATCCTTGAGAAGACAAGAAGGAGATGAAATGGGAAAGAGGAGAGGAGGGAAGTAAGGAGAGTTTGCAGGAGGTGATGATGAGTTTGGTTTTAGACCAGCTGAGCTTAAGGTAGAAGCAGGCCTTGAGATAGATTGCTCAGTGAGAAGCTTATGAGAAATGATGCTGGACTCAGATTCATCCTATGTAGAATCATCTTCGAGGGAAAGAGGGATCAGGTTAGGGTGAAGAGGTACACATTTCAGAGGGTAGAACAGGCCATGGAATAACTTTGAGGTATTGAGGAAAATTCATTTTTCATTTGATTAAGTCCTGACTACCAAGTAAGACAGTGGAGGCCCTGAAAAGTCTTAGTGTTGCCACAGGGAGGGTAAAGAGAGATGGCCCCAGTTGCTGTGCTCTGAAATCATCATATGCTGGCACAAAAACTATGTTCTCCAGGCCCCACTATAGTGGCTGAGCACAGCAGGTGGCTGAGCACAGCAGGGACACTGAGGCAGTAGTGTCCTTTTGAAAGAGAGGTCTCCTCTGATGAGTCTCTTTGAGGAGCACCTGTCAGCTTGCTGGAACTCCCCCTCCCACCACACCTAGCCCTGCAGTACTAGGGGTGGAGCCCAGGGCCTCACATCTACTAAGCAAACACTCTACCACTGAGCTACATTCCCAGCCCCTGAAACTTTAAGAATGTATTGTAGTCTGCTTTCTCCTGCTGTTTCCTTCCCCTTTCTACCCTCCTTTCCTTCCTCAATTTCATTTTTCTTCCTTCCTTCTTGAAGGCTCAGAATACTTTTCTGAAGAAAAATCTTAAAGATAAAACCTTAAAAGGCTTAAATGCCCATCTGTCTGTGTCCTTCAAAAATCATTTGCCATGTTACCAGTGGCTGATCAATCCCTCAGGCAAAGGCTTCTGTGAAAATCCAACCAAACTACCTAGGACAGTCATGGGGCCTTCAGCTCTCCAAGTACCACACATTACACATGCTGGAACCTAGGCAATAAATGTACACAAAAGTTTATCTTAAACACAGTAATCCTGCACAAAGAGAGCTACCAGACTTTAAGTTTCCTACTACTCATGGCTCAAACCAAAAACTCAGGACGTGGAAGTTAATTGAAGGTAATAGGTTTATTTAAAGCCAGTTCTAAAGAACATAGAGGAACTTCTTTGTCACCTCAAATCTCTTAAAGCACTTACAGTGGGTTGTGAAGGGCTTTATGAGAGGAAAGGGGATACGATGAGACAATGGGCAGGAAATACGCACACTTGACGGAATGTTCTTCTTTGGAACATATGTTTTTTCCTCCCTTCTCCTTCCTTATGGAAACAGAACAGCATCTACATTTTCTTTTTAGACAGAAACATTACTTTTCTGCAAGTCAATTCATATGAGCTGAGGAGAAGAGTAACTTTACAGAGGCTTCTCTTTAGAATTTAGCATGCTGTGCCTGGGGATTCAGCTCGGTGGCACCATGCCTGCCTTGCAAGGGCAGGATGCTAAGTTAAATTCCCAGTACCCGGGGGGGCGGGGGGGGGGAACAGAACAAAAAAATTAGAAAAATAGAATTTAGGATACTGTGTGAAAGTAATCGGTTATTAAAAGATTAGGGAGAAGACGAGAGGAAAGGAATTGTGTTGAAGGCTCTTCCCCAGAAAACTACTTGGTTACAATGCCACTGAGCCTAAAGGGAAGAAAGACCATAAAGTGAACTGCGCCTCCAGGAATAATAAAAAAGATAATGACTATGGAGGCCTTGGTAAGCTAAATCTGGAATAGAGTCACTGAAAAGAGGTTATTGAAGCTCTCCAGTCCCTGGTGTGTCAAGTGCTCCATGCCTGTTTATTTTGTCACTGATGTGAATACACAACTCTGGTTAAGTGGAATTCACTTTTTGGTTTCCAATTATATGTGCTAAATTCCATTCTGTAGATTTCATACTTTCTATGTCATGGGTCAACAATAGAGGTTCTCTTTTTGGGTGAGGAAATGTGACCATTCTTACTAAACCTGACTTATTTGCTTTCATGCCAATGCTCTCTGTTTATTACCTTGCAGACTTCCTCTTCGTCATGGTCCAGGATCTCCCCTTTCCAGTGTTCAGAGAGATTTCTCTTACTAGTGACCAGGTTCTTCAGCCTTTCTTTTCTACATTTGGCCACACTTATCATGACTTTTCTTCATATCTTACCATTAGTACCAGCTCCCATTTTTCAGATTCATCCTCTTTAAGGTCCTTGGAAAGTAAAGCCAATAGCCTTTCAAAATGCTATTTTTGCATAGGCTTAAAGAATTGATGGACTCCAGTAACTGCAAAAGAATGCTTTTGTGTTTCTTGCACTAAATATATCACCTAACACCAGAGAGGCACTTAGTAAAGTTAAGACTTCTTATTTTGAGATATAGCCTTTAATTATTTTGATGGTATTAGTACATTAATTATGAATGGCTACATTGGATAGTCCTATAAGTGCTGATAGTAAAATCTATGCATATGTTAGTTAAATGCAAATGAATATTTCCAATGTACTGTTAGTAAAGTCTGTCTCAAGTCTGCCCAGAAAATTTCAAGGGCCTTGTCATAGTCAGCTTTCTGTTACTGTGACAAAATACCTGAGAAAAACAATGTAAAGAAGAGTTTATTTTGGTCCATAGTTGCAGCACCTGCTGTCCTGTGGTCAGCTGGTTCCATTCTATGGACGTGTGATGAGACAGAACATAATGGTCATCAGCAGGAAGATGGGCACAGGAGGCTGCTCACTTTGCGGTGAACAGGAAGCAAAAAAGAAAGAAGAAAGGGCTGGGACAACTTATAGTCCCCAAGAATATGGCCCCAAGGATTATGGACTCTCTTCAACTAAGTCTCACCTCCTAAAATTCTATCACATCCCAATAGCCCATTAAATTATGAACCCATTAATGAGTTAGACCACTGATGAGATCAGAACCCTCATGATCCAATCATTTCCCAAAAGCCACACCTCTGAACATTACCACACTAGGGACCAAGCATTTAACACATGAGCCCTCAGGAGACATTTCAGATTCAAACCTCAATAATACAGAATTTTGGAGCAAAAGCTCCAGCTCCAGGAGTCCCAACAGACCAGGCTTGGCCATGCTTCCCAAAATGCCAATCAAATAGATGAACACTGTTCAAGGGCAGGAGCTTTAATCAACATGGTCATGCTGGAAAGGTCACATAAAGAGGTTCAAGGGGATGACAGAAACTTTGGGGTTTTATAGAAAAGGGAACAAAGGAAAGGTGTGGAGTTTTCCAAAGTTGGCAATGTAGGCAATCCTGGTCAAAATATGGTCTGGTTAGTCATTTTCTAAGAATTGGTTCTTTGAGAGCGCTCAGAAAAATCCTTATGGCTTGAAGGAGGGCAGTTTCCCATGAGATTATTGGTCCTGCTTGGTGAGGGGGGGGGGTTGTCTGTGAGGTAGTGTTTTCCTTGGAATCTAAGGTGACTGTGGTTTAGGACGTTGCAGGAGGAATAATTTCATGGGAAACTGCCCCTTCAAACCATAAGGTATCTCTCTCATAGCAACAAGGCTACTCACTGCTAGGGTGAAAATCACCTTCTCTTCCACTGCAAATGCCTCACCATTTCTTGAGCAAGTATTAAGTGCCAAGAGCCTAGGCAAGGTCCTAGGACTAAAACGACAAAAACACCCAGAGGATGACTACAAGGTGCTTCGAGTCTCATGCCTTTCATATGCCTATTATACAAAGGCACCTAAATATACTCATTGGCTCTGATTTTAAATTATATTTCATGGATTTGCTTTGAAATGGTGATTCTTCAGTAAGGTCCTATCTCCTAGCAAAGCATTTTTCCTGGTATTGCTGGGAAATGACAATATATTTGAAGCCAAATTTTAAGTATTGAAAGTACAGAACCTAGTTATAAAATTTTTTCAAGGCAAGAATGTAGTGGCTTTTGTTTTGTTTTGTTTTGTTTTTTGAGATAGGTCTCCATATGCGGTTTAGGCTGGACTTCAGCTCACTATGTAGTCCAGGCTGGCCTTGAATTTATGGCAATCCTCCTACCACAGTCCCTGAGTGCTGGGATTACAGGTGTGTGCCATCACACCCGGTCTTTTTAAAAATTTAAAATTAGGTTATTTAATCATTTCAGTTATCTTTATAGACTAGGACTTCCAACAGTGACTTTTTAAAATAATTTCTTGGGTTTCTGTTTTCCAGAAATTTTCAGTTCTCATCACTTTTTTTTCTGTACTGCTTTATATTTTTTTAATTTCTGCAAGATATGATGGTGTATGCCAACAATCCCAGCACTTAGGAGGCTGGGGAAGGAGAGTTGAGGCCAACCTGGACAAAATAACAAGACCCTGTCTGAACAAACCAACCAACCAACCAACAAAATAAATAAATAAAAATTTCAAGTTAAAAATTCTTGCTCATGTTTATTAGTATTCCAGTTAATTTCTTACTCTCTTCTTACTTCTTGCCTTTTTTCCATACAGGATAATGTTCATATGTACTACAAATTGTATGGCTTCTATCAGAATATCTATCGATATAGTTGATCCAGAAGTAATAACCAACTGGTGGGTGAGGATGTGAGGGTAAGGCTTTATTTAATTTGCTATAATGTCCCTTCTTTCTTTCTTTCTTTCTTTCAGCAAGGTGGGTCTTTCAGTCTAAAAGGAGGGATGGAAAATAAACTCAAAAACTAAAGATTTTACAACCTAAGTTTTTCCAAAACATAAATATTTGGTTCATTCTATGTGAATAGAAGGCACTGAGTATTCAGGATAACTGTTACTGAGAAGAACAGTGTCTTGTAAAAAGACTGTAAAAGTAGTAATGTGAATCCTACCCACCTAAAAAGTTCTCCTTTGGTGCACTATTTTGAGAGATCTTGTTTCAATTTGGCTCACTTGATATCTACCATTGTCTTCTAATGATATCTACCATAGCTGGGAATTTCAATCTAGCCAGCTTTGAGGAAAACAGCTTCTTTTTGATTGAATAATGCCTTTGGTTTAACCAAATATCTTTTCAAGACCTAGAAGTACAAATCTTAACTCTTGGTAGATGATATTTACTATGCTAGCAAGAAAGTTAAACAGAAACCTTTTCCATACTGACATTATGTAAAACTGATAACTAAATGATTTTTTAGTAATTACTCTTTTAAA